AATTTTTTATATAAATTAATAATAAAAATATTTAATAAATACATTTTAAAGAAAAAAATCTTAATATAAATTTCTAATTTAGTACCAATCCAACACTAATGTATGATAAAAAGTGCCACCTTATTGTCACATAAGCAATGGATCCCACCAAAAGTAGCTTTCTATTACGAATCGAGACAAGTGTCTAATGTAAGCCATGCAAAAAGGAATGATTTGCAACCATACAATAAGTTGAAGGGTTGATTTGTGTCTATATTTAGTTGAGGGGTTGATTTGCCACCATTCACTGAATACAGGGCTTGATTTACCTTTTTGCCTTTTTTTTTTTTTTTTTAAGATTTGAACTGTATCGGTTTAATTTCGATGTATCAACCAGTACGTAAAATACCGGTCAATACACCAAATTCAACTAAAATAATCGAAATTTGATGGAAACAGATTTTAAACCTATATCGTTTTGAATTAGTTGAAAAATTAGTATGTATCGAATGAATCAGAATTGACTTCTTTGCTTACTACATTTACATGCTACAACTTGAATATAATATCTTATATTCTATTTAAACATGAATTACACAAGTGTTATAGTTAATATTATGTAATATTATAAGTTTATAATATTATGTGTAGTTATATAATTATTTTTTATTCGAGAATTCATTCATGATAATATGTATATTTATTTGTTTAATACTACATTATACTTATTCAATATCATATCATAATTATAAATTTACAATTTTATATACTATTATAACTATAATATTAAAAAAGAAAAAAAGAAAAAAAAGAAACCAGCGTTAGATGGTTATGGTTGCTGACACTCATAAATTAGCCAATGCCCATAAAGTATTCAAAATAATTCATTAAGTATATTATTCAAATAAGCGGGTTGCCACGTGACTTTAAGTAATTAAGTTGATATGGCGAGGACGCATCTCATTCAAAAAAATTAGCAAATACTTAAAATATCCTTTCATTTAGTCGCCATTTCATTCTACAGTGAATTCTAACTTGCACCATAACAACTTATTCAGGTTTTACACAGCTAAGCAAACTGACATCGACACTTTTTGGTTAAATACTTCACAAATATATTTATTAAAAACTTATTGTTTTTAATCTAAAATTTAATATAATATTGAGAAAGTGGTTGGGGAGGGTTCAAAAACATTGTTTCGGCATGACAAGTGAATGGGGTCTATTCCTCTAAAAATTAGATTTAATAAATTGTTTAGGATATATATCAAGGGACAAAGACGCATTAATCTCTAACATGGGGGAATAGAAGAACAGAGAATGGATCTCGAGATTAAGATGGAGAAGGAATTTTTTGGTGTGGGAAATTGAGCTTTTGCAGAAACTCATGGACTCATTACAAGGGAAACTGCTAGTTCAGGTACAAGAGGACTATTGGGTTTGCTGGCAAGATCACAAGGGTAAATACATGGTGAAAGCAGTTTACAATCTGCTTCAAATCAACTCCAATCCAGGTAGAATTTGATAATTATAAGCTGATTTGAAATAAGAACGTACCCCTAAAGGCCTCTGCATTTGTTTGGAGAGCCACACAAAACAAAATTCCAACAAAAGATAATATGTGAAAAAGGGGAGTAAGAAGCAATAAGAGGGATTTGATAGGCACTTTACGTGGACAGTATGATGAAGACACGGACCATCTTCTATTCGCCTGGAGAACAGCATGGCTTGTTTGGTCCTTGTGATATAATTGGTGGGGTATTGCTGTTCCTCAACACCATGAAGGCTGGAAACACTTGCAACAGCATGCAGGACTATTTTCTGAAGAAAACTCAAAGCAAGCATGGCTTGTGGTTTGGTTTGCAATCATATGATCGCTGTGGATATGGAGAAAATCAAAAGGTATTTATGGGAAACACTAACACATTTAGCAACATCTTTGAATTAATCAAGGTACGATCATTGATGTGGTTGAAAGTTAGTTTTTGGCCAAATATATCAAAGGATTTATGGCTTTTAGACCGAATCTAGGCATGCAAGATGATTATGAGTACTAAGTCTTAGTGTGTGGTACTCATAACAGAAACTTTGAGGGATCACTTTGCAGGGATTTGATTTTCTTCTTTGATGTAACATAACTAATCTTGTACAATATGGGTAGGAGTACTCCTTGTACTCCATTTAATTTAATTTTCAATTTGGTTGATAAAAAAAATATAAAAAATTTAAAAACGAGCCATGCATACAACATAGAAGAATTAATTGAACCAACTGCACTTATATTATAATTTAATAATAAATTGATTGAGTGTCAATGTGTATATTAAATTAAAAAGTGTCCAAATCATGTTCCAAATATGTAATTAATAACTCTAAAAATTGGATATATTAATAAGTGAGTGTCATTTTTAGATTCAGAGTTTAAGTAATGGAATCAATACTTTAGAAAATTGATTTCTTCTAATGCACTAAATCAATGTAAGGTGCCTTTAAGATGGTTCAAAAAAATGATTAATGTCAAAGTGAACGAAAATTAATTTAAAGATTCTGTGACCATAAATAAAAAATATATAGTTCAAAACTTTAAATCTCTATAATAAAATTTTTAAATTTATATAAATTCTAGATTAGATAGAAAGAGAATTAGAAATAGGAAAAATGCTTGTCATTATATATCCTCTATATCACCTGATGAAAAAAACCATGTACCCAAAATAGAAAAGGAACACTGAAAAAACTCATTCAATAATAAAGAATTATATATTAACATTGTGAACAATTTAAGTATATGTACGTATATAAAAAAATTCACAATTAATTATTATTGTCAGTTGATGGCATCTTAGGTGCAAAATTGATGGGCATTCCAAGAGCAGGAAGTGGAAGAGGATCCATGGTGATGGATTCATTGGGATGAATTCAAAGACCAGTCATAACGAGTAACGACGAAGTGAACGAAGATGAGGATGTTCACCGTTGCAAGTTGGTAACCTGCACAAGTCCTTGTCCCTTGTCCGAAGGGAAGAAAGACGTAGGAAGGAATCCTGCCGTCCTCAAACCTGCTCGGATCAAATAATGGAGGATATTTGAAGTAATCTGAATTGTAATGTGTCCCATACGTACGTCGTCCACAGCACCTTCCATCCTTTGGGGATGGTGAATCCTTAGGATTCTAATGTCTGTCGGTACTGCTTTTCTGAAAGAGCCAAAGATGGGAGGTAACAGCAGCATGCTTTCCCAAGCAACTTGCCATGTGTACTTCATTTTCTTGGTATCTTCCATTGTCAGGCTCTCATCTGGCGCTTTATTTCTTGTCATTTTGACAATTTGTTCTGTAGATGAATACAAAACTAATTAATTACAAAACATAAAAAAAAAATTAAAATATTTTGATATTAAAAATATTAAAATATTTAATTATAATTATTAAATATATAAAATATAATATAAATTTTAATTTTATTGAATTTATTATGTAAATTATTAAATATTTTGACATTTTTAATGTCATAATATTGTAATTTTTCCTTTCTCCCACAAAATTATATCAAAATGCATGTTTCAAAGAGATGTTTAATTGTAGAAAATAATACTTATTTGATTTACTTTTTAAAAATTAAGAAAAAAATTATTTTAAAATTATGTAATTTTAATAAAGTACTATAAAAAATAATAAAAATTTCTTTTCTAATATTTATTTAAGAGTCAAGGCGATAGACACTATTATCAAAAAATTGAATTAAAATATGTATAGTACTTACCGTGGAGAACGCGAGAGTACCATTCTGGAGTTGAGCTAGGATTTTGAACGTAATGGCAAATGAAGTGGTGTCATGAGCTGCAAAGACGAGTAGAGTTAGGTTGTCAATGACAGCTTCTTCTGTAATTGTAATTGCACCAAACCAGAAGTCCTTCTTAAGTCCGCGCTTGTACTCCGAGATAACCTGCAAAGCCCCGAGGTGGAACTCGGGGTAGACACTCCGATGCTTAAGTCAGCAATAATCG